GGTTCCGACCCATAGCGACCCTGTACAGGGTTTCCGAGGGTGTAAATCCTTACGGGAGTAGAAAGCCTCATCTTTCTCCCGCGGAGCAGCTGGTAGTTTTGAACTGCTGACCTTATGGTTCGCAGCCCAATTCGTAACCATTACGCTACCAGAGGTCCTTAGATTTCTAGTGCTCTTCAATTCACCCTGGCCTGGACCCCACTGTCCCCACCCCTGCTACCACAGAATCATTTCCAAATGCACCTACCCTGGCTGTAGGTGCTTAAAATCCTTTTTAATAAAATCCTTCAAAGCCTTCCTGTTGCTCTTAGGATAAAGATAAGAATTTTTAGTATGGTTTTACCCCTGCAGTGTATGTGTCCTGCCTACCTTGCCTTCCTCTTCTCAACACACCCCATTCCCTGGACTCTCAGACCTAGCCACATTGGCCGTCTTTTCAGTCTCTTGAATGTGTGATGACCCCTGCTGACCGAGGACTCTGATTCATGCTGTGCCCTCTGCCTGCTTCAGTAGCCTCCCAGCCACTCTTGCCCAATTCTTAAAAGTCTCAGTGTGGTTTCTGACATTCGCTTCCTGCTTCATCTTGGTCCCCAGCTTTTAGGAAGGACTCCCTGGGTGCCTCACAGCAATGCCAAGGTTGGGCAGGAAGCCAGAGTAGTCCACAATGGTCAACTGAAGGAAATAGGGCTAAAGCTTCCAGCTGGGGAGCTGTGTCCAGCAAAAACAACAGAGGCCAGGATGAATATCTGGGCAGTAGTATTTAACATGCTGGCCCAGTCCCAGCATCTCTGCCCTATGGATCTTAAGCAGCTCATGCCCCTGAAAATCGATTGTCCTAGGCCACATCACAGCTCACCTTACAAATCATCCAGAGAGATCAGAATCCCTTCAGAAGGAGCATTCAGGACCACCCAGTTTTGGGACTATAAGCTCTGATCCCTGATAGTAAGAAGGAGATATTAAGAGAAAGAGGGGACCCTCCCTACTTGTGTGCCACATGGCATCTCATAGTAGATGTCTGCAGAGGCTTTCATTTGAAGAAATGCTGAACAACTGAACACCAGTTGGAAAATCATCTAAATCCCTCATTTTGCAGATGAGGAAACTGCGAACATTTAAACACATTTAAAATATGCTGCAGAGAGCTTAAGCTGCTCGGAGGTAGACTGACAGGTGGTAATAGAAGCTGGTTGTTATGACTACTGGGTCTCATTAATTGCACCACCTGCAGCTCCAGTCTGGAAAGCAGCAATCATAATTGACATTTGTGGCATGGTCTGTGAGGGTTAAAACCAAATCAAACCAGTTGCCATTGAGTTGAGCCTATTCTGACTAATGGTATCAACACATGTGTCAGAATAGAATTGAACTCAATAGGGTTTTCAATGGCTGTTCTTTCAGAAGTCCATCTTCTAGCCTTTCTTCTGAGACATCTCTGGGTAGACTTGAACTGCCAACTTTTCAGTTAGTAGCCAACTGCTTGACTGTTTACACTACCCAGGGACTCCATGGTTGGTAAAACACCTTCAAATCCTGGATCCTTTTTGATTCTTGACTCAACCAGATACATGGAAGATTTTCTCATTATAATTTCCACCTTAAATAAGAGAAGGGTGCTCAGAACAAGTAAAGTGACTTTCCTAAGACCACACAACTATCAAGAGGCAGATTTAACTTGTTCTCCAGAACCCAAATCCCAGCTGCTTCCCAACTACACGGAATTCACAGTGATCAAAGAAGCTGTTGCCATTGTGGTCTGGCCTTCCACAGAAAAGCGTGCCATTTGGGAACCATGTTTTAAAACACAGATCGTTTTTGGGATTGACTTACAGTAAATTGTGGCCCTGTGGTGAAAGGCTCAGGAAATGGGTTCACTGTATCAGCCGGGAATGTTTTTATCTTCAAAAAAGAAAGAAAGATAAGAGTGTTACTTTCTGATTAGAAAACAAAGTTTTGAAATGGTTGGCAGTGCATTTTTAAACCTCCTGAAGGCTGTGGGGAGACACACAGGCAGAGACTTCATAGCTTGGGTAAGGAAATACATACGGGTTCCTCAGGAGGACTGGCAAGGAGGAGATCTGTGCTGTCATTGTATTATGGGCTGGGTGTCGGCAGGGATGACTCATGGCTGAACATCAGCTTTTACTTCACCCTGGAACTCCCTTCCCTGAGGTCTGACTCTGCAGGCCAGCACCTCCCAAGCATGCTTACACATGGCTTGAACCACAAAAGACCATGATCAGGGTGAATAATGAGGCAAGCAAGGCTGCCTTCTGATGGCTTCTCCATAGCAGTGGGGAATGGCTTAGAGACTGCTGGGAGGTCATATCATGGAACACAGTTTACCACGGCAGGCTGAGTACCAGCAGACCTGGGGTTAATAAGGCCAGAAGGCCTTCCCTGTCTCTTCACTTTCTTTGTTGGACTGCCTGTGTACATTGGGCAAGAGAAGGAAACCTCAGGGGAACCCACACAAGCATGTGAGAACCCTGCAGCCCTGGCCTTTGGGGAAAGAAGGCATGGTGTTCAGAATTGCCAGGGCTGGGAGCAGCAGCAGCACAAGGCAGGTTTGATAGAGGTTGAGTGTACCAATCTGGTTGGTATAATGGTGCTAAATGAGTCTTTGCTTCTGTTTCTTTCTCTGTGGTGCCCTGGAGGCCTGGGGGAATGTTGGAATACTTGTTTCTCTAAGCAGGACTGGGGTACTGCAAGGCCCAAAGGCTCAACAATGCTACACAACTGTTGATTGAAAGGCCATTGTACCATTTAGCTGCCAGAGGGCTGTGTCCAGGACAAGGCCATCACTGCCCAAAGACAGCAGTCTTTGTTACTTGGGGTCTTTCTTGTGGATTCTGGGATAGCCACTAAATTCTCTGAACCATTCTGAGGGGAAATGTACATAGGGAGAATAACAACACATTAGATCCTGTTCAGATGTGGCAAAGCTTTTTAAATGGGTGAAGGCACTGGCTCTTATTCTCTAGGGGTGGCAACGCCCTTGTATTTTCCACTGAATGACAATGTTCAGCCCTAGCCTGCTCCGTTCCCCCCAGCTCTTTTAAGACTCTTTAAACACCTCAGAATTCCCAGAATGGACCCCAAACTGCCTTTAGACTTAGGCACCAACTCTGGTTGCTACAGTAGTCACCTGCAACACAATATAAGGACTCTCAAGCTCATCTAAGCAGGTAGGCACCCTGAAACCTGTGCTACCAACAACATTGTCCTTGTGTTGCCAAATGGTCCAACATGGTGTTCTGAGAACAATATCAAAGGGAAACATGGCCTATAGAGAAAATTCTCAGAATATCATGACAGAGAAGGGGAAAGGGTGATTTTATTATTGCTATTAAGCAAAGGAGCATGAAGGCAACCTTGAAGACTTATTTTAAACCTGCTATAAATATGAACAATATATTCCAATAGACACACTGTGTTTGTCAGCCTGGGCAAAACATACTCATTATCCTCTGATGGTACTGTCAATTGGTACAGCCAATTAAAAAATGGTGCAAAAGCCCAAGTTGCACGATTTAACCCAGCAGGAGCTAGCCTAAGAAAACAAAACACCTGATGTAAAAGCTATGTTCCCTTGAATGGTTCAAAACTAGAAACAAAGCACACATCCCTCAGTAAAGAACTGGTAAATGATGGCCACACCCTGGGTTCAACAGTAACAATTCAATAAAATGCTGTAACAGGGACAAGACAGAACCCCCAACAACACAATGTTAAGTGAAAAGCGAAAAACAGGAGATAATATAGACCCTACGATAACGTAAAATTTTTACATTATAATATAAAATTATGAATGGATATGAATAAATATTGGAAGGAAACATACAAAAAAACCATGCTAGGTTAGGACTGTAAGTGATCCCTTTAAACTGTTATGTAATATAATTTGCCTAGCAAGAGAAGAAAAGTGGAAATAGCTTCAATAGAAATACAACTAAGAGTCCATCTGGTGAATACTAGAACATTTTTCTCTCTGAAGGTAAAACTTCTGTGCTCCTTAAAACTCTAGGAAAGCCAGCTTTTGGTTCTTGAGAAGGTAAAGAGGTGGGACCAAAGCCAGGTGTCCCAGATAGAGCAGGGATGGCTGGACTCCAAACTCTCCATTCCTCCTGAAGGGAGAGCCCCTGTGAGCCAGGCTCTTTGGAGGACTGGTGCCTGTACATGTCCATTGGCCACTGCCTGGGAGTTCCTGCCCACCTCACCTCTCCTTGCAGGCCCCTCACCCTACCAGGTACCTACCAGCCTCGTTTTGATTGGAGGGTGCATGCAAACTCCAGTGAGCTCTTCCTTCATGGGGAGAGAGAGAGGAGGAGAACAGCGAGAGTGGGCACAGTGGGGGGCGCTGGCGGGCTCTGCCTGCTCACGAGGAGACGAGAGAAGGGGAGGAGGAGGTGGTGAGAGACAAGGAGGAGGAAGAGGAGAGAAGGGAGGGAAAGGAGAGAAAGACAGCACAGTGCAAGATGGATCTGTCAGCTCCAGACTGTTCTGGAGCCAGCCTGGCCCATGGCTGACTTGCAGCCTCTGGTCAACTTGCTTCTACCCCTCCCACCTCCCTCCGCTTTCTCTCCTCCTTTCTGGTCCTCATGTGTTTTCTCCACCAGAATGACCCATCAAAACCCATCCCCAGGTACATGTGACGATTGTTGAAATGCAAAATGTTTTATTACATATATAATTACCACAATTTAAAAGGAAAACAAAATCTATTCCCAGGACAGCCAAGTAGAAGGCATCTCCTGTATCAACTCCCCAGGACTGATAGTGGCTTCCTGGCACGTATGCTGAGGTTTCTGAAGCATTGCCCAGGTCAAGCCAGAAAGAGAGCCAGATCCATTAGTGATGTCTGCCATGGGAGACATAAAGGAGGGGACACACACCTGATAGTATTTACTTCCACGCTCAGAGCATGCCTGCAGCCTGCCAAATAAGGGCACACATTATGTGTTTCTGTGGCATGTATGTTGGTGTATGTCACCAGAGAGCACTAGAGGAGAAATATATGGGGATGAAGGGTGTGGAGGGAGAGGAACATATGGTTTAGGATCTGACCTGTTATATTTCTTTAAAAAAAAATGCACTGCCCTGAGCCTGTTCTTCCTCCTGCATGCCCATGGGCCCAGGCCTTGAAGTCTTGTATTGCCCTTTAAGTTGGGATAGCCGTGGCACCTTACTGCTTAAATGAAAGACAACAAGCACTGAGAGAGAAGTGTTGTGCCATCTGGGGTCTGAGTTTGCCAGCCCAGGCCCAGAATCATGCCATGCACAAAGCAGAGACACAACAGCTTGCACTGGTTGAGGATGCAGATGGTGAGCAAGGGCTGTTCGGATGTGGGACAGGGAGCAGCTGACAGGGTCTGGGTTTCAAAGATAGACCATTCTTTCCAGAAAACAAGTGCATGCATTTTTTTTTTTTAGTTCAAGAAGGTTTCCTTGAAATGTAGGTATCATTCTGCCATAAGGAATAATAGAGAGCCGTTGGGCACATTTCAATGAAAAAACAAGAAAATAACAGGTTTGTTTTTCTTTCTCCAAATGGATCTAAGTCTGTCCTCTTTACAATTGTGCAGTTGTGGATAGTTTCCACGGGACTTTGACAACTGTTCTCCCACAATGCTCTTCACAACAGCCTTATTTTACTATTCAGATTTGAGGGATGCAGAAATTGCATTTGCAAAGTCTCAGTCTACATCGTTTCTACACCCTCATGTTGATCATTTCTAAATCCGTTTTTAACAAATACAAAAATTCTTATTCTATGTCCATGTTAGTCACTGCAGTTCAGTTTGACGTTTGACCCGCCTACTTAGGACCCTTCCAAATCTCTCTATGGTCTTCAGTGTCAGCACTAAGCTTTGTAAAATGGTAACTATGCCTGCACGGAGCTGACTCCTACCAGCCCTCGATTTCAGCTCTCACCATTGCCCCAATGCATCAAGGTTTCAACCAGAACCAACTGCCTCTGGGACCCCAGGCTTCTTGGCCTTTGTCCCTGCTTATAATAGTAGGTAGAGTCCTGGTGTGGCGCTACGGGTTAATGTGCTGGACTGCCAAGTCGGTTTGAATTGCAAGGTTGGCTGTTCGAGTGTACCAGGTTCTCCTCGGAAACCCTATAAAGGGTCACTATAGGTCAGAACCGACTCAGTGTCACTCCATGACAACAATGATAATAATAAGCGCTCAATGTGTGTTTTCAGAAGAGTAGAAAAACTGCTGTAAATGATCAGGAAACACAGGCATGTTGCACAGAGGCCAATGTATGTCTCATCTGAAGACTATAATGGATAACTTAGGATTTTGCCCAGTATTGGACTTTTATGGTAAAAACAAGTTGATCTATTCCCACAAGCATTTCTGACCTTTCTACATCTGCATCTGAGTGAATTCAAGCACAAAGAACATCCTTGGGCTTCTACGCTCTTGACCCGTATTAAATAGGAAAGAAATAGGGTACAGTGTCTTGAAATATCATTTTATATTTTACTCTTGATGTTTTCTTTCCTTCTACGGTGTTTCCTGTAGTCCTGGTGTGGCACTGTAGGATAAAGCATTGGACCACAAGGCCAGTTTGAACCACAAGGTCAATGGTTCAAACTCACCAGCTGCTCCTTGGAAATCCTATGCAGGGTCACTGAATCGGAATTGACTTGACGATACTTAATAACAAACAACAACAGGGTCTTTTCCACATTCAGGCAAGTAGGTTCTTATACAGACACTTGACTTTTGAGCTTCAAAATCCAACTCTTTGGGGAGCAAAAAAGATTCTCAGCATAGAAAAATGGTGTTGGACTCAACCATGGCAACAGTAGTGAGGTTGGCCTAGGATTGGGCAGTGTTTCGTTTTGCTGTGCATAGGGTCGCTATGAGTCGGTATTGACTTGATGGCACCTAACAACAACAAAGCATGTTAGGCTCCTTCATCATCCAGATATGAAAAGAGACTGACAATTTGGAAAGAGAAAAGTGAGAGGGGTGCACACATCAAGAGTACTGAGGAAAGGGACTCCGTGCTCTCTCCATCATGGGCTGCTCAGAGACACAGGAATTAAAAGGCTCAGTGGCTCTGTACCCCATTGCTTAGGTAGGACCTAGGAGGGAGCCAAATGCATGGTGTGTCTTGCAGGTCAGGATTCACATATCACAGCGGGAAAGTGGTTTCTATGCACCCAAAGGGGCATGAAAGTTGAAGAGACTGTGTCAAGAAGTACCAATGAGCAGATGACATCATGGATGGCACAAACATCCCTCCACCCACCTGTGCTCTAGAGAACATAAATAAAATTCCAGGAAGAAAGAAAGGAACTGATTCGACTTGAAATTAAGCTTTGGCCCTCCTGGTCAACTGACGTTCAAAATAAAAACCAAGTTATTGAGCCAGAGGGGAACCCAGTTTTCCTGATGTTCAACCCAGGGCCTGGGCTTACACAGTCTTCATTTGGCCACATCTATCTCCTCTCTCAAGGTCAGCAGCTCAAATCCACCAGGAGTTTCATGGGAGAAAGATGAGAGACTTTCTGTTCCCATAAAGATTTACAGCCTTGGAAACTCTATTTAGGGTTGCTATGAGTTAGAACTGACTTGACCGTCCCTAACAATAACACAACAACGATCTCTTCTCTGACACAAGAACTCTTGACTAACATTCTATGGTCTGAACAGACTTGTGTTCTGGTGCAGTGACTCATGACATATGAAATCAAAAGAGAGACCAAAAAGAAAGCCAGCATTCAGAAGGCAGAGATGTTGATATGCTGCTGGCTGGACGTGAAGCTAGAAGTGGGAGGCCGGAAGCGACACTCCATTGTTATTCACGTGTAAATGTACCCTCCTTCCAGCCCCACTCTTCCATCACTAATAACTCCCAACTCTATGTGTACACACAAGAATACCCCAAACGAGATGACCAAATGGAGACTGGGTGTCATACTCACTGTCTTTCCCTCCCACCTCCGTTCCCCACCTCTTCTGTTCTCCTTTCCCCTGCCCCACTTAAGAAACTAAGATCAGATTATGATATAGTGTGATCCAGAATTTGGAAATGGGCAGAAAACAGCTGCAAAAATTATAATGTTTGTTGTTAGGTGCTGTCCAGTTGGTTCCAACTCACAGCGACCCTGTGCACAACAGAATGAAACACTGCTCAGTCCTGGGCCACACTCACAACTGTTGTTTGTTTGAGCCCACTCTTGTTGCCACTGTGTCCATTCATCTCATTGAGGGCTTCCATTTTTTTGCTGACACTCCAGCAAAAAAAAAAAAAAAAAGAAGTTCCCAAGTATGATGTCCTTTTCCAGATTGGTTCCTCCTGACAGCATGTCCAAAATATGAGAGACGAAGTCTTGCCATCCTGGATTCTAAGAGCATTCTGGCTGTACTTCTTCCACGACAGATTTGTTTGTTCTGGAAAGTCCGTGGTACTTTTTTTTTTTTTTTTTAATGTTTTATTGTGAATTATGTGATATTTATGGGAGAGCATTAGTTTTACATTCATCGTATCGTATATCGTTTCATTGCCATGGTTACAATCCCCTCTATGCATCATCAACCAACCAAAGTGTATACACTACAAGCCTGCCCCCCAGTCATCAGCACACGGCCCCTTTCCCTCTCTGGGTCTAAAGTCCCCAGCTGCTCCATCGTCTCTGCCTCCATCTCAAGCCTCACTGATTCTCTAGGTAGGGTGCTGCTCTCTGCTCTTCTCCCTTGATGGTCCCAGGGACCTCCGCTCCTAGACTACAAAGTTAATCACTCCCCTCCTTGCTACAAAACGTCTACCTTTACATTTACAACCCTCACAGTTAGTCCTGATAACAATTATTCACTATTGTATCACAAGAGACCTATCAGCATTTCATCAGCCCCACCTAGACACACTGGATACTACTCACTGGAGATTCTATCTTCTTCCACGCCCTCTGGATCTAGGTTCCCTCTTGAAAGCTTGTAAACCAGTCACTTCTTGCCTTTGTAGCCCACCCCCCCATTTTGGATAGCCAATGTCCAAGTTGCCCATCCCTGTCTACTCTGCGTATGGAGGGGGTGGGAATGATCCTTGCTGTAAAGATTTGTTCCCTCTTTTGAGCTACTGCATCCATAGGTATAGGTCAAGTTCATCAAATTGTATCTGATTACTCTTTTTTCCTCTTCTTCTTCTAGTTGAGCTCTGATCATCCAGTCATTGACGCCAGGTCAAGAGGGTATTATCTGCAAGTGTGGGTGTTCTTATGCATATGCCCTCGCTTCTTATCAGCTGGACGCTTCAACTCTCCACTCTAGTCCTCTGTGGCTATGTCACTGACTCTGGGCCCAAGGGTTCTCAGGTCTTGCCACACTGCTAGCCAACCAGGTCTCTAGCCAGGTTCACAGGAGTCTATTGAACGTTGTAGGGGCTTAGCTTGCAGCTTCATTGCTGTTTTTCCCTCACTTCCTCTTATTGGTGATGAGCGTGGTCACCAATCAGAGCATGTCATGGTACTTTTAATATTCTTTGCCAACACCATAATTCAAATGCATTGATATAAGCTTAAGAGTTGGAAAACTGATCTAAATGTTAAAAGAGTTAGTGATTGAAAAAGAAAAGGTTTGGAAAAAGAAGAAAAAAGCTGCAAGAGTGAAGCTGGAAAGAGGACTTTTGTGGAAAGTTTGAGAATGGATTACTGTAAGGCAGAGTATAAGAGAACTGAGAAGACGGCAAAAAGAGATTCAAGAAGTATTGCCAAGAGTTATTGATTTCATCTCCTTTCAAGTATTTCTGAGCAATGCCAAGTAAAGATTGAACCTTTTAATTACTCTTGGCTGTTTGGACTATGCTTCTTGAAAACCTACTCATACAGATACTAGTCACAAGGATCAAGAATCACAGGGTTACACTAATTCTGATAGAATCTGGGTAGAATGCGGCTGAATCAAGAGAAGAAAATTTCCTCCAGTTCTGTCTTTTCAGCACTGGACTGAGGGGCTAGAGAAGCTGGTCAGGACTCTCAGAGCCTCAGCCAGTAGGAGGAAGGCAGGTTGTGAGCTCAAGGGAAAGCTGCACTGAAAAGTATCAATTAAAGAGGGGAAAATGCCTGCAAAATGCTGCTTCCTTATCTGAAGGAAAATGTTCATGGGAAGGTCCAGAGAAAGTAGCTAGAGGCTGAGATGTGTCCATTCCCAGAGCTGGCAGTAAAGGAACCTGCAGGCTGAGTCTCTGAGCATTCCCGTTTTTCATGCCCCACTCCGCAACTATGGGGACCAAACCTGGGCCAAGGGCTTGGACCAGACCTGCCCACAGCTGGGCTGTGGGGAATTGGGCCGAGGCCAGGGCATCTGACAACTTTCATGGGTGAGGGACTGGTTTTGGGAGAGGAGAGAGACATGTCCCGGTTCAGGTCATGTGTCACTGTGAAAAGTGCTGCCACAGCAGTACATGGTGTGGGTTCTAATCCTGAAGCTGGTGTGGACTTACCATGTGACCTGGTACAAGTGCTTGCCCCATCTGTATGTGCTGAGATGGTCCAGCTGACCAAGTAATTGAGGAAGTCCTGGCCACAAGTTCATCATGGAAGGTGCCATTCACCCTTTCACTCTGCTTCTGGCTCCTTCCCATGGTGCATCAAGACACTCTGCAGCTCACCACCCACCAGCCTCAGGACACTGAGCCCTGGAGGCAGGCAGCATCACCAGATAGCCCTGACTGGGAGTGAGTTTCCCAGTTTCAGGCCCTCAGAGACACAGATACCGCACCCTTCGTACCCCAATAGCAAGGTCAGAGAGATGCTGGGAGGAAGAAATGGAGGGAAGGACCAGCTGAAGGGAGGAGCCCACTGTCTGAGTCTCCTCTCCTACTCTAGGCCCTGTCATTCAGTGAGACAGGATGCTGGAGCACTGTAGAGCCAAAGCCAAAGGTGCTAAGGAAAGCCCCAAAGGGAATGGTCTCTGACCAAATGCCAGACCTCAGGCTCCCCTTCTCCCTGAGTCCTGGACACATGCACACATGTCTCACATGCACACAACCAAAACTAAGGATGTTTTATCCTGGGAATGTTGGTTCATTACAAACTCTGGTCTGAAATGAGCAGTCCAGGTGTCAATGGACTCTGTTACCAGGAAAGATGTGAATGGGGCACCCTGGGGAGAAGGAATGAGCTTGTTGCTAGAGAGGGGCACAGCTCTGCCAGAATCTTCTTTTCTAATTTCAACCAATCATGTTCCATCAATGAAAACATGGGGTCATTAAATCTATAAGCTCGATCCACAGATCACGAATCTCTAAGAGAATCTCATCATTCCTCTCCAAGCCATGATGTGTTTGTTTTTGTTTTGAGTGGGGGTTGTAAACTGACCATAGGCACTTTAAGAAATACTCAGTATTTTACTCACTTTGTACTTTCTGCATAGAAAGCCTTGGTCTGTTTTCTCCATCTGACAAATTTCTATTCATACTTCAAAACCCAGACACAATGAAGTCTTCCTTCCCCCAGTGACTCCAGATAGGGTTAGCCACTGGGTGCCACGTCTTATGGCATCTATTGAAACATATTGTAGCAGCCTGGGAGCTGCTCAAGTAATGTCTTCCCCTACCAACTTCTATTCCTGCTAGGAAAACTTTCTTCAATTCAGCCCTGAGAACTGAGTTTTCTCCTGCTTGGTGTCTTCATAGGCCCTTAGGATGGCTGTACTCTAGGGGTTCTCTGGTCTATCTGGGGCATTCTGCCATCCAGTGAGACTGAATGTCCCCATTGTAATTAGCTCTGGTAAATAAGGACTTCTATTCCAAATGAGTTCTGGTAGCGTAGTGGTTACGAATCGGGCTGCGAACCTTAAGGTCAGCGGTTCGAAACTACCAGCGCGCTCCGCGGGAGAAAGATGAGGCTTTCTACTCCCATAAAGATTTACACCCTCGGAAACCCTGTACAGGGTCGCTATGGGTCAGAACCGACTCGACGGCACTTAACAACAACAACATTCCAAATGATGTTGCATCAGGTTCACACTGCCTAGTTTTCTGTCTCTTCCACCATGCCTCTTCCTCTCCTTGCCCAGTTTGTGTTGTTGTTAAGTGCTGTCTAGTTGGTTGCGACTCAAGGAATGCTTTAAACGGAGCCTTCTTCCAGACCCTGCTCTTCTTTAAAGTGACAAGTTTGCTAACAGGAGGCCAGGTGTAACCCAATGTGATGCAGAGAGCCCTGGAAGAGAAGCCTGCTCAGTTCCTGTGGGATTACCCACTCTGGGAACGACTTTCCCCCATCTGTGCAAAGGGGTGATGTTGGAAGGCCCTCTGTTTCTGGGTTACACTAATTGAAGGGAAGAAGAGAAGAGCCATTCTCTCTGTGAACAGTGTTGACCACGTGCCTAATAAGGCCAGGAATAACTTTGTTATGTTTCCCTGAACCTAAGAGGAGAGTTACCTCTGAGGGGTTCACAGAGAGGGCCCCACCCAACACCAGTTCTCAACTGTGTATTCAAAAGTGCTGACTCAAAGCTCCCAGACTATAGCAATTCTCCAGACTAGAAGTGCAACTCTATGAATGATTTCCAGTGCCAGCCAAGGCAAGAACTGTGAGAATTCCTAAAACCTGGACAGCATTTTGCCCCATCTGCCATCTCTTGGAAGCTACTGCATCTACTGCACTCCTCTCCAGTCAGTACACCCTGAATGACTCCCACCTCTGAAGTTCCATGGGCTCTTCCACGTGCTCTCATGTCCCTGGCTATTTAGGCCCCTGACTTCCACTCTAGCCTCCAGCTGCCACTAGACCCCAAGAGCCTAGCACCTGGCTGAGCACACAGCAAGTCCTCTGTAGATATTTCTCAACTTGCCTCACAATTTGACTCTCCTTCCAAATTTGCAGACTCTGAGTGATGCTCACATTGACTTGGGTACTAAGCTGAGTCCAGCCATAGATAGATGCAAATTAGCCTGTGTCATCTAACAACAATGCTAATAATATCTTACACATATTGGGGGTGCTTTATTCTCCAAGGGTTCTCCCTTATAGCAACCCTGTGATGAAGAGAGAGTAGGTAATGACATTCTTATTTTACAGAAGATGGGAGAGTGACTATTCAGTGACAAAGCTCTTAAGAAGAACAGAGATGGGTCCAGTCTTCATGACTCTTGGTCCAGTACTGTCACTCAGAAAAGATTTATCACCTGCAGAAGTCCCAGTTGAGCCACCATCCCTAACGAGGTAAGTGCATGCAGGGGATGGAGGATGGTGAGAAGGCACTTAGAAGCCTGGAAAGTCAGGATGAGGCTTGAGCCAGCACTTCAGACCAGAGCAGGTTGTTGGGAAGCGACAGCAAGAGCGCAGTTCAGGAAGCCAGGAAACCAAGGCCCAAGCACCAAGGAGCCCTGCAACACTTGAGGAGAAGCACACAGAAGCACGGAGGACCCCTGTAACCACCCTCAGAGTAAAGGGCTCTGGAAATGGAGGTGATCAGGGCCTGAACCCCAGAAGGAAGCTTCTTAAGCCACTAAACTGTGAACAGGACAGTTCTCAACAACACTGCCCACCTCTGTCCATCTGTCCCACTGCTAAGACGTTTCTAAGATCAGTGGCTTTTCTGGTTTTAGCAAAACAGAATATTTACCAGAGGAGTAGCTTCTGTGAAATCCATCAGAAGATCACCAGGCTCCAAGGTCAAGGGACCTCCTCGTTCTGAGGGGCTCTAAGAAGGCAGAAAAAAGTTCTGCTTAGTTACAGTGCTGGAAATCCTAGGTTATACTTGGATTTAATGAGAAGACAGAGGTACCCAACCTCTCCTCTGTCTTCTTTCTAACATAGGTCTTATTATTATAACAACAACAACAACAAAAATCCAAGCTAGTTTCCATGGATTCAGTTCAAACTCATAACAACCTCATGTGCTCCATAGGGTTTTTAATACAATGACCTTTAGGAAGCAGGTCACATGGCCTTTTCTCTGAAGTGCCTCAGAATAGACTTGAAACATGGCCTACCAACTGCTTACACCAACCAGGGGCTCCTATTATCATGATAAACCTCCAGTAGTTCCCTTGCTCAGCAGTGTACAAAATCTTGAGATTGAACTCAATTTATCCCAAAACCTAATGGCTAGAAGTAGAGGTAGGGTGGGATGGGGAAAAAGTAATTTTTAAATTTGTAAACAATTTTTCTGGAGGAAGGCTGGAATTTCCTTCCTAGTGCTCTTTGATTGGTCTTTTGGGAAACATACTTTAAAGAACCTATTATGTGTAAAAGAAGATCTAAGAGTCCATTCTGAGTGGGGATGGTCAGGACCTTAGGTTGATCTACACATGAATGAAGAAGATCCTGAAGATCAGGCACCTCTGAAAATTGTGTTCCTCCTGCCCTAGGATCTCACTAACATAGTGGGCCTGGCCGTTTTCCGTGAGGAGAAAAATGAGCCCATTCACTTGGTATACCCGAAGCGGAGATACGGCCAGGAGAGGGAGCCCTAAAGCCTCTGGTAGGATGTGTCTGTGTATCCTTGCACTCCCTTAAATTGTTTCCAAGTTTGGAGCAAGTTTTGTGACTATTTCATCCTGGGTTTAACCATCGTGTGGGATATAAAATATATATACATACATATAGTGCCTGTGTTTCCACTGAGGGAAACTCAACCTGGGTTTCCAGGAGGATTCTGAGCTTCCTTGTGTTACCTAATGATAGTAATAATGTTTTGTACATATGTTGTTGTTAAGTGCCATTGAGCCAGTTCTGACTCATAGCAACGCTGTCTAGGGTTTCTGAGGAGAAACTGGTGAGTTTGAACCACTGACCTTGCAGTTCAAGCTGACCTTGTGGCCCAGTGTTTATCATAAGGCACTACACCAGGACTCCAAATGAGAGGCTTCAAAAAGTTGGTGGCCACTGACACACGTATGGTGCTTTATTCTCCATTCTCTGGATGGAAAAAGTGTTAAGTGCTCAACTACTAACCAAAAGATGGCCACTCTGAACCTGCCCAGAGGCACTTCAGAAGAAAGGTCTAGTGATTTGATTCTGAAAGGTCAGTCTTGAAAACTCTATGGTACTTGGTTCTACTCTAACTCACATGAGATAGCCATGAGCCAGAATGGACTTGGTGCAACTGGGTTTTTGTTGCTGTCCCTTTACGCATTATAAGGAGTGGGATACGAACACATCATCACTTTTACTCCTCCAAATTCTCTGTTATGGGGGATAAAACATTTTTCACTGCAAGGATGCTGCTCTGAAATCAGAACTGCCCTCACAAATTCTTTAAATCTCTCTTGAAATACAGTGTATGTGGTTTTACATTTTATGATTTGTCATTTATAAACATGTGGCTTGTGTTTTGGCAGCCCAATATATACAAAGCAAATTTGGGGGGTTCTTATTGTTGTTTTGAAATGTACAAAGTCCATTATGCATGCAGGATGCCATTCCAAACTGCAGACTGAACTCCCAGCAATCCTGGATACTTCTCCTGGGTACCATACCTTGGCTCCTGGGGATGACTGGCCCTTGCCTTCTGACTTCTGAGGCGAGCTGACTTTCTGGATCTTGGGAGATGCCAGTGGCGCTGAGATCTGTGTGGTAGTGATGGTGGTAGTGGTGACTGTGTTTGTGGTTGTCGTTGTGGTTGCTCCTACTGCCTCAGCCAAGTCCGGAGGGAGGTCGTCTTCATCACTGCAGTTACTAAAAGCACATGAAGCTCTGCTCATTACAATAATAAACACACTGTGGGGAGTAAAGGAGGGTGGGTAGGACCAAGAAGGTGGAAAAGGGAGTTTCCCAAACAGATGTTCACCAGATGTCCAGCTTAGGAAATCCAATACTTAGACTTTTTTTTGGAAAACCAAACTTGGGCTGGATTTTCTGTTACTTGCCAGGGCTAAGATTTTGAGTGGTTTCCCTTTGGAGAGTAAATAAACACAAGGTTCATGGCTATCCACTGCTCCGAGTAAATGTGTCATGACTCTGTTCATGGTCTGACTGTCCCTTTGATGTGATAGATTGGCACATTTGTTTCAGGACCAAGTGGTTCTCATCTTAGAAGTTCCTGATGGAATGAGATGACCCAGGTAGATAAGGAAATCTGGCCTATCTCCCTGGGTTTATCCTGGGTCTAAGGTCATCCTAAGGAGCTCTGGTAGCATAGTAGTTACGAATTGGGCTGTGAATTGCAAGGTCAGCAGTTCAAAGCTACCAGCTGTTCCATGGGAAAAAGATGAGGCTTTCTGCTCCTGTAAAGATTTACAGCCTCGGAAACCCTCTTCAGGGTTGCTATGAGTTGGAACTGACTCCACGGCACTTAACAACAACAAGGTCATCCTGGTACAGCACTGGATAACATCATCAACCCCCTCCCCATCCTTTATTTTATTTCATTTCTTTTTTGGTGAAAATATGCACAAAACCTACACCCATTCAACAGTTTCTACATGTACAGTTCATGTGTACACAAAGGTTGCAGGCTTCACACTGTGTCAGCATGCTCACCATCTTGACCTGTTTTATTTTCACCCTCAGTAACTTAGAACTCCTGTCCCCTGAAGTTCTCATCTATGCTTTAGGGCTGCTGTTGTCAATTTGATCTCATATAGGTAACTCTGTCAAAGAGTTCAATGTTCAAGGTGAACGTTATTAATTAAACTAAACTGATGTTTAGTTTAAAAATGACTTCATGGGACTGTTTCAAGTCAAGGTTTGAAAAATGTTTCCAGGCAGTAGATTCGGGGTCAATACACCCAGTCTTAATATCAACAGCATTTGCTCAAACTCAGAAATGAAGACAAGCCCCTTCTTCCTTAATGCCAACCAGATTGCTGTCTTGGCAGTAAAGGGTTAAGTCAGCAGGCCTGAGGTGCAGATACATTTCAGAGAAAGGACTGGTCCTAGGAGGCATGTCCCTGGAAGACATTCTCTGAGTCCTTGGACTATCCTGCTTCATAAGAGTATCTTGTTTAGCTCAGACCTTTGTCCACTATAATAATGTGACTTATGGCAAAAGCCTGATTTTGTATGCCCGGGGCTTTGGGCACTGCTGTATCAGTTTGAACTCAGAAGGGCTGGAGATTGGATAGTTAATAATATCATTCACACAGGGCTCCATGCCTATATGACTGACTGCCCAGTAAAAGCTCTGGACACCCAAGCTCAGGTGAGCATCCCTGTACGGCAATATCTCATCCATCTTGATGCACATTGTTAAGTGTAACCCAAAGAACTCCAATGGGCTAGGACACCTGAAAGCACACACCTGGTGTCTCCTCAACTCCACAAGATGTGCCTTCTTCCTTGACTGATTTTAACCTGTATCCTTTCTCATCATAACCTTGAAAAGAAAAGCTTTTCTGAGTTTGTGAGATCTACAAAAAAGCACCAAAGCCAGAAGGTAGTCTTGGGAACGCCCACTAGATTCCTCCTAAGGATTTCCTACGTAGAACTTCTGGGCCATCCTGGCACAGGCATTGTCAGTTAGAAATGATGGCTGAGCTGGACCAGTGTTGAGCAGGGGCCAGTGACCAGAAGGTACCAGTGTGGAGTTCAGAGGGCTTTATTGAGGGCTTTCCCAAAGCAGCGTGCCTCGCAGGAAATGTGGTCACGGGACACAGCTGCAACGGGCAGCTGACTGAGGAGGGTCCTAGGGGGTTTTAGATCATTCTGCATGTGGAGAACTCAAAAGACAAGGAATTCGGATCTGTTATTAACAAATGGAAAATGTAGGGTTTGAGTAAGTGAACAAAAATCATTAAGATACTGGCAATTTAGGTAGACCCTGGAAGCAGGTCAGATTAGTTATATATGTGTTAACCCATTTAATATTCACAAGAACCTTATATTATGATTTTCATTTTTCAGAAAAGCTGAAGCTACTCAATATTCAGTTGACTGATTGCCAAATGATTTATCCAAGGTCAAATGACTCGCTCAAGGTTATATAGCTACTTAACTACAGAAGTTGGTTAGAATTTATTTCTATCCCATTACAAATTATTATAACCTTAAAAACATAACTATTAATTTTACACAAAAAGGCTATCTTTAAAACCCTGCAGATCATTTCTCATAGCAGCAAGTCAACTGATACCATAGAAACTGAAAAAGACTCCAAATTCTTAATAGTTTTCATAACCTTGTACTTTACTTAGATCTTATAAAGAAACATTTATCTAAAACTCAGCAAGTCTTTTCAATTTTACTTCAGTTTCTTTATCTTCTGTTAATAAAAATAACACTATTTAACAATTAAAAAATAGTTTGTATAGTCCTGGTGTGGTTCTGTAGGGTAAACACTAGGTTGCTAACTGCAAGGTCAGTGGTTCTAAGCCACCATCCCTATAGAGTTGCTATGAGTCAGAATTAACTCAATGACACTTAACAACAATGACATACATCATATGATCCCTTTCTTCAAAAGTACTACTTCCTATTGTAACAATAAATATTCATAGACGACTTTGAAAGTAGCAATCATGTGTCAACACTGGTTATTTCTGATGGTGTAATTAGGGGGAATTAATTAATTACTTTTTTTCTTTGCACTTTTCAGAATTGCTTGGATTTTGCTTGAACCCACCAGCTACTCTGTGGGAGAAAAATGAGACTGCTTCTGTAAATATGTGTTGTTGTTATATGCCGTGGAGTCGATTCTGTACAGGGTTTCCAAGGCTGTAAATCTTTACAGGAGCAGAAAGCCTCATCTTTCTCCCATGGAACAGCTGGTAGTTTCGAACAGCTGACCTTGAGATTTGCAGCCCGATTCGTAACCACTACGCTACCAGAGCTCCTTACAGACTTGGAAATCCTCTGGGAAGTTCTACTCTGCCTCAGAGGATCACTGTGAGTCAGAATCTAGTTGATCGATGGCAGTGGCTTATAGTGAAGTTACATGTCTAGATAAAAAAAAAGCTGTTGTTGTTGTTGTTGAATGCTATGGAGGCAGTTCCGACTCATAGCAACCCTGTCTAGAGTATCTGAGGAGCGGCTGATGGGTTTGAACCACTGACCTTGCAGTTGAAACCAAGCTTGAGGTCCAGTGCATTATCCTCCAGTGCCACACCAGGACTCCAAAAATAAACTAGCTTGTCATTTTCTAAATATATGTACTTGCTATATTTAGACACTTTCACCTCAAACTCTGCAGAGTGGTCCTGCTTCTTCCTTCACTCCACACACAGCAGCCACCCTCTTCCTTCCTATGCCATATCTCCAGGCAGGAACATGGCTAAGGATTTGGCTTTGGGGGATTTTGTATATGTGTGGTAAAAATACATTATAACAAAACTTTTGCCAATTCAACAATTTTGATATGTATAATTCAGTAACATTGATTATATTCATCATGGTATAAACCTTTACCACTATCCTTTCCCAAATGATTCTACCACCATTAACAGAACTCAGTAGGACTGAAGTATTCAGAGCATCTGAAATCATGATACTTTTGGTGGAGCAATTTTTAATCTAAATGCATCCAGCTCTTGCTTAGGAACTAGAAATATTATATATATCGTGATCCGAAGGCTGACTGCATTCCCACCTGGTTCCCAGGATGCACACTTATCTCAAAAATCACCATACTTTTAGGAAGTCAGAAATCTGTTTTTCCATCTATATTCCTTGACCATGTGTTTATTAATTTTACCAGTATTTATGATGGCAAGAAATTAGCAAATGAGTAGTAACTGGTATCAATGATTCAAGGCTTAATTATTGGCAAAAACTTAAAGCTGTGAAAATTCCAACCAATAATTTTGCTATTCTTTGGTGGTGGTAGTTTTGTGCTGTGGAGTTGTTTCTGACTCATAGTGACCCCATATAAGGTTTCCGAGGCTGTAAATCTTTAGGGGGGCAAAAAGCCTCATCTTTCTCCCAAGGAACCACTAGTAGTTTCAAACTGCTGATCTTGAGGTTAGCAGCCCGACTCATAACTACTACACTGCCAGAGCTCCTTGCTAGTCTCTACTATAGGGAAAATCAGTCCATGTTCCAGCCCCTGGCTAGGAGCTTACATTATTCCTGAGAGGTAGATGCTATCTTGTCCATTGTATAGAAGATGAAATAAAGGCTCAACACTAATTACAGCTTGCAGCTGTAAATTAGCCAAGATTTAAAAAGCTCCCCTTGCAGCTCTTTGACCAATTGTACATGCAGACATGGTACCTGGTCCACAGCTAAGGGCAGAATCTGAGAGCCACACTATGGTTATCGCTAGTACTGCCACTACTGTTATTCAACATTTATGTCTTCATTGTGAGTTCTTGGATGGGAAAATTTCAAAGTAATTTTGTTCTTCCTCACAAGTGTAGAACTGCCCTGTGTACACAGTAGCCAAGACACATTGTTAGGGTGAACAGAAGTGGATGGCCTGGGACACTTTGGGAGATGACACGTCCCACGGTGCTCATTACCATTCCGTGATCAGCTTTGATCCTGGTGCCAGATCATGTTATCATTTCACTGAATCCTGTGTCAGGCAGCTTCCATCAGGTTCCCAAAGACCCCTGACTCCTGGTATTGACACTTTTCTGTGATCCTCTACCCTTGAGTGTGGGCAGACCTAGTAGTCTCTCTGGCTCTTCTTGTATGCTTTCTCTCGCAAACAAAGCTAGAGAATTCTTCAAAAGGTTAAATACAAAATTACCACCAAATGACCCAGCAATTCTACTCCTTAGTACAGGCAT